CCTGACTCAACATTTTTTCTTTGCATGCAATTCACCCTACACCTAATTCTTCATGTGGAATGTTTTTTTTTTTTTTTGTGCATACCCAATAGATGCACAGCAGCATTGTCTGCGCTGACATATTCACCTCATGCACAATACGAATATTCACTCTAAAAATATCATTCTCATTAGATCAGCACATAACTCAAACCAGTGACTTCTGAAAGGACTGAAAAAAGCGCGCTGGTAAAATCTCAGCCAACGTGTGTGTGTCTCTGTGTCTCTCTGTGTGTGTGTGTGTGTGTGTGTGTGTGTGTGTGTGATGGTGTTGCGTGTCAAGCAGTCACATATCTGCTTTCCCTTCAGTGCATGGCTGTTTTCTCTGTGTTTTTGTCTGACACAGCACAAGCCGCGCCGCTCAGATTGATGGCTGCCTCTGGATTCCGCACGCAACTATTGTTGTCCTCCGAGGCCCATGTTCAAATATCTTCATGGAACATGATCTTTACTTAATATCCTAATGATTTTTGGCATAAAAGAGAAATGTATAATTGTGACCCATACAATGTATTGTTGGCTATTGCTACAAATATCCCCCAGCGACTTAACACTGCTTTTGTGCTGCAGGGACACAGATATGAATGGAGTTTATTGATCCCCACGGGGCAAGCTCCTTCTTGCTAAAGCTGAGCTACTACATTGTGACGTTTCTGATAAATTACTGTCATGTTTATAAGGTCCTGCTAGATTCACACGTCACGCAGTTAAATAAAATTAATAATTTAATTAGGCTACAGCGACCTACAATAAACAATGGAAACAATAAACGCCATATTGAATTTAACGTAGATGAAAACGAGGCTGTGCAATGGCAAGTGTTGTGTAAAAGTCATATATTTTCACAGCTCACAACATCCAAAATACACAATATGTAAGTTTTCATCATAAGATATCCATAAACGACTTGCAGAGTGTGATATATTTCATGCTGTTGTAGTTACGTTATCCCAAAAGTTCCCAAGGATGTATAAATCTAGAGAAATTCCAATTTTAAATAATGGCTCCTCCCCGGTTATTACCGCCTATCAATGACATAATATCCACAACTACACTCTTAGAAATAAAGGTGCTTCACGATGCCACAGAAGAACCTTTTTTGTCTAAATGGTTCCATAAAGAACCTTTAACATCTGAAGAACCTTTCTGCTTCACAAAAGTTTCTTCAGATTCTAAAAAGGTAAGAAAGAGATGCTTCTTTGACTGAATGCTTCTTTGTGGAACCAAAAACGGTTCTTTATGGCATCGCCGTGAAGAACCTTTCAAGCACCTTTATTTTTAAGAGTGTATCCTCAGTGTAAGAGATTGTAAGAGATTCATTCATCAATCAGTGACATCTTTACTGATTATAAGTGGCGTTTTTTGAGAGTGCTTAAACTCACACTAGACTGAAGTCAGACGTAATGTTCTTTGACTATGTACATTTTCTTTGCTTGCTTTCTCTGTATAATTTATTCGCTGTTTGAATAACTGTGGAAGGTACAGGTAATAAAAAAATTTATTAATGACCTCATCCGGGAACATGCTTCTTCATAGCGTCATCAAGCTTCGCATTTGTTATTGTTTTGAAAATGCGACCTCTAGCGGCGAAAACGTACATGTTGTGCCTTTAAAATTAGTTTCTGAAAGATGTTGCATCGGTGTTACACAACAGTACAATCTACTAACGCTAACTCACAACCAATTTGTGTGTATTTTACGAGGTGGCTAATTTTATTTAACATAAGCAGCACGCACACATCCAGAACTTACTGAACAACACTTAAATTCATTGTTTAGAGCCCTTAAAAGTCATTATAACCTACAGTACACACAATACAATCTGTATTAAGGTACATTAAGACCCCGTTTACACCTGCTTTTCGTCTCAGGCAGACTGGCAAAGTGTTCAACAACAAAAACAGTGTACAGGAGTAAAATGTTTGAAGATCTGATCATTCAAATTATGCAGTGTCATGTAACCACATTAAAGTTATACAGTATTATCAACACAAATCTGTTTTGATGTGGCCTTTGGCTACAGAACTTCTTTCTCCTTTAACAACAGGTGTGTGTGTGTGTGTGTGCGTGCGTGCGTGCGTGTGTGTGTGTGTGTGTGTGTGTGTGTGTGTGTGTGTGTGTGTGTGTGTGTGTATTAAAGTTTCTACCGAAATCAAGCGCGTGCGTGAAATGAATCAATAAAAAAAATGCACTATCTGTTCTTGCAGCTTTGAAAGTGACAGAGATCGTTAAACGACTGTAAAGTGAACTCGGTTGCCCCTCCAGCATCCTCGGGCGAGCTCTCACGCAACGTGGCCAATCTTTAACCCGCGCGCCACAGGTGCATGCACGCGATGCTGTTTGTTAGGTTTATCGTAGCGTGTTTCAAATCACGATAACAGTCTGTGGTGACCGAGATTCTTACAAGAGAAACTATACCGCAGAACAAAGAAATCAGCGCAGTTCGGGTTTCATGCATTTCAGTGACAGCGCTTTACTGACACGCATTGCATTGGTTTGACTCCATTCTGGCGGCTTTTCCTGTTGACACACTGAATGAGATGTACGAAAAATGTGTGCAGGAATCTGCAGCAGGGCTGTGAAACACACACACACACACACACACACACACACCTTTGCACGCGATGCTCTACTTGTTGCTTAATGAGTTACGAGCGCGTGCCAGGCGAACATGACCCTACAAATCAACGCAAAACTCTTTCTTTCGTCGATTTACTCTTGCAGGCAATTATCAGATGTGTTGCAACAAACAGTTTATTTAGTCTAATTGCTGAAATTGTCAAAAAAGATTTATGGCACTGACTTCTGTCTGTTAAAACGGTTTTATTAGATAAATAAACATCAAGAAGCATGTTCAAATATCTTCTTTCTTTCTTTCTTTCTGTGCTCAGCTGTATATTTTTTATGAGTTGTAAATATCTAATCTATAATACGCACTGCGCATTTATTTCTCAGTCTATGCATTGATTAGTATTTTTCTAAAAACGGTCAGACAGCTGTTGTAATGTTGTAAAATATTATCGTTATCACATATACGTCAAATACAAAAGTTTAACTCATTTATTTTCATATATTTCATGGTTCTTTTAAAGTTTCACTATTTATTTATTTATTTATTTAGGACTTGTAATACATAAATATATTATTATTATTATTTAACCTGTCTATATTAATAAATAATGCATCTAGTTTAATAAATATATAGTAAAAATATTGTAAATTTGTTTAAAGGTTCTGTTGGTTTAAAGGGTTGAT